TGTTACTCTTGGTGGTTGCCGCCACCTAGATGGCTTGGAGCAGCGGAAGAGCTTAGGCACATGTTCGTGATTGTTCGTGGCCGACTCCGGTGATTATGAGGGGTCTTGCACCTTCTCCGGCGAAGAGCCGCAAGGTAGCTCTAGTAAATTGCTCGTGTCATTGAATTACCTTATTTGTAGGTAGGTTCTTGTGGTGTCCATTTGTTGGACGGGGTCCGTGCAACACCTCTTAGCCGCCGAACCACCAAGTGTTGGTCGACGCAACAGGGACTAGTGTGCTGGTAAGCACGTGAACCTCGTGAGAAAAATCGTGTGTCATTCTTGTGATTGGATTTCTCCCATTGATTATTGTCTTCACATTATGATTGGTTTATTCCTCGACATGGCGGTATAATCATCCTACTCACTCCTTTATATTCCTTGCAAACTAGTTGTCAAGCTCTTTAGTGTAGTTAGTCTTTAAGAGCTTGTTAGTTTGGTTAGTGTGGCTCTTTAGTTAGTCTTTGAGAGCATACTAGCTTAGTGAGTAGTGACCTAGCTTATTGTGTGCCTAGTGATCATAGCAACTAGAATTGTTAGGATAGGTGGCTTGCAACCCTTGTAGAGCTAGAGCAAAATTGCATTACTCCATTTGTTGTACTAATCAATTGCTTTAGTGCCTTGTAGAGTTTTTAAATAGGCTATTCACCCTCCCCTCTAGCCATATTAGGACCTTTCACAGTGCCATCAACATAGCTCGTGATCCGGTGAAGCATGATCTCACAAAGCATATTAGAGTTGATGCATATTACACTCGAGCTCAAGTCCAAGATGATGTCATTGCTCTTCGCTATGTGTCCTTAGAACTTCAGTTAGCTGATTTCTTCACCGAAGCACAGACAAGACCTCAATATTGTTTCTTTATCTCCAAACTCAGTTTTCGTGATCCACCCTGAGTTTGAGGGGTTGTTAGAGATACGTGTGTACTTTGTATTTTCATATTGCATAAGGGTGCTTCTACATATTGTACATGTACATATGGTGGCCTTTTGCCCCTTCTCAAAATACAAGCTCTATTCTAGCACTAAGTTCCTCGGTCGCCAAGCCGTTGCTTGCCCTTCACCTTTGCTTAGTACCTTGAAGCTTTTCCTTGCTATATTCACCAACTTGAGCCAACAAGTCACACCTTGTGTTGAATCATCCATTTAGTCCATAACCCATCCTTTCATATGTATGGCAAGCTTCAAATATGAGATCATTTCATATGCAATCCCTCATGTCTTATTAATTGATTCTCAACATGCTTCTTTCTTATGAATCATAGAAATCCCACAACAAATAAGTCTTATATGAATTACATTTGCATTGTCTTATGTTTGAACTAGATTGTTTACACAACAATACATCATTTTGGCTTTTACCAAGTACCTGTGAGATAACCAACTTCCTGTCCAACACTTAGCAAATAGGTTAGACCTTTAATCATGTTGTCATTCAATCCAAAATCCACTAAAGGGCTAGATGCACTTTCATAATGCTTGGTTACATGCATAAGCGGATGCAATCTGTCTAGTGTATGAGAATGGAGTATGGGTCTGTCATCCTCATATTGCATCCATCGACTTAAGTCTCAGGAGAAAAGCTCAATTCGACTATTCAAGCATATCCCACAAGCCTGTATTTACCTGTCAATGTATGCAACCAACCAAACATACTACTAGTTCAGTTTTATACGACTTGATCGATGAGGATAGATGGAGTACATCAACCAAACATGCCTTTAGTCTCCAATGCTCATGTGAGTTTAAGCAAGGGCCTGTTTGGTTTATGCTAAAGTTTGCCACGGTGAATCTTAGGCAAACTTTGGTTGCCATAAAAAAGCGTGGCAAACAAAATTGAAGCCACATTTGTGGTAAAGTTTGGCAAAAAAAATCTATAATATATGAGACAAGATGCTAAAAAAGTACGGTGTGCCACAATTACAACAATAAACTAAACACACGTCTAGCTTGCGGCGTTGCAAGTCCAAACAGACCCTCTTCAAAGTGAATTGGAACGTATGACACAGTCATTTGAAAAAAAGAGAGTAAAGTGCATGGCCGGCCCCTAAACTTGTTGGACTGTGTCAAGCCGGTCCATGAACTCTCAAAATGACTACTTAAGTCCCTAATCTATGTTTTGATTTCGTTTAAGTCCATAAATGGTACTAACCAAGTGTTCTCGTTGTTGTATTTGCAGATGACCCCTGATTAGTGCGGAGTAAAATATCCCCATTCGCTCTCACTCCACCTTGCCGCCGCCAGTATCTCCTTGGTCCGCCGCCGCTTTGCCAATCACAAGGATGAGGCCTCGTGGCGAGCCCAAGGATGAGGTCTTTGTGGCGAAAGCACGCAGTTTGAGGCGGCCGTGGTTGCGCCTGTGGTTGTAGCCGTCGCCATCGCTGCAGTGGCTCGAGCCATCATTGTCGCCATGGCTCGAGCCCAGCGCCCAAGAGGCGCGCCGTCGGGTCCGCGTCCGGGAGGCATCTTTGTTAGGGGCCGTGGGCAGAGGAGGCCGTGTCAGGAGGCCTTGGCGTCGGGGCCGGGGTTCTTTGCCGCTTCCTCTCTGGTCGGTGAAGGAGCCGCTACTGGATGTCTGAGCAGAGCAGGAGCAATTGTCGAGCACAAAAGCCGAGCTAATCTTTGTAGCCCCTTCACCGCTTGTTGTATCTCATCCAGGAGCAATTGCATTTGCTTTTCTTAGGAATTGGTTCATAGATGATACTTACATTGAAGTGTTTTGTTCTTACGTATGTGTATGTGAATTTCGTATGTGAATCATGTTTCACTAGGATGTAGTAATGGTACATGTAAGTGACCTCAAAATTTGATGAATAAATTTTGGTTGAAATCGAGTGTCGGTTGCTGTGCAAAAAATGACTGGCATCTCATAACACTTTGGCAAAGCCACTTCACTTGGCATTTCCTAACATTGACAAAAAATCCAGCACTATTGTGGGTGAAAGAGATGGCATTTCACAACACCGACAAAAGGTGTAACATCCAACAATTGTTTTGACAAAAGGTGCAACATCCGGCCAAGGTAAAAGGTCTAAACAAGCTAACAGTTAGCGCTAAACAAGCTGTTGCAACATCTAGCAAAGGTCTAAACAAAAGGTGCAACATCTTTGCTAAATTTTCTCTGAGACTTCTTGGGCCTTGCTCCCTGTCATTTATGATTTGTTAGCTGCTGCTCTCTTTCTTGGCTTGGAGTTCTTTGCAGGTGCTTGATTTCCATCCTTGGAGCTTGTCCCCGCAACATTCCTCTTCCTACCTGCAGCTGCCTTTCCTGCCTTTGTGCATGTGGTTACTGGTTTTGATGTTTACAAAATTCAGACTCCCAAAAGATGAATGAAACATTGCACTAATTAGAGCAGTGGTTTGGTGTTTCCTATTTACACACAAAAGATGACTTATACAATGCACTAATTAGACCATGTCTTGCTGATTGACTACACTAATGCCATCTTCTCCCTTGTCTCCACCATCAGCAGCCAACTGTTTCTTGTTTGCTCCAGCTCTGCCCCTCCTTGGTGTAGATGTGGATGCCTATCTCTTCTTTACTGTGGCTGCCTTGCCAACCTTGGTGCAAGCTGTCAATGCAATAAGCCTTTGCACAGGTTGGTTTGTCATGATGAACTCATTATGTGGGAGTGGACCAACATTAGTAGAAATAGTTGATGTTTGAGTTTCCTGTATCACACAAATTATGTCACATTAGATAATTAGTTGCAGCATGACATATTATTTAGTGGTTGCAGCAAACATACCTATGATAGCATTTGACTGAGCAAGGTTGTATTGGCCCATGTTTGAGGTCCACCTGGTATTTCTTGGTATATGGCTTGGTTGATAGGATCATTAGATTCATCTGGTACTGGAATCGTAGAAGCATTTTGAGAAGCCTGTTGTGCTGCTTGTTCAGCCTCTGCTTGCAACTGCGCTTGTGTATTTGTAGCCAGTGCTTTGGCTTCTGCAGAAGTAAATCCCATTTTCTTAAGCTTGCATCCAGCACTATTATGATTAGCCTCTATACAGTAACTGCAGTGGGTTATAACTCCATGCTTAGAAAATTTGGGTTCATTCTTGCCTTAAATTTCATGTGGTTGCTTCTTCCTCGATTTTGGAGGCCTGCCAACTTTTTTCTCATACAAAGGTGGCTGCACCTATGGACCATCAACCTTTTCCCACTGCCTCTGATATCTGCAAGGCCATATGTCGTGGTCTCCGCTTCACCTCCGCTCGATCGCCCAAGGCCATCGCCGTCGACCACGGTGACGGAGAAAGGGAGGCGGGCGCACCTGAGTCGCGACTCAGGACAGGAGCAGCCCCAGGCCCTTTTAATGGCCCTCGCGTTTTATTGGGTTTTTTTTGCAAGATTACAGCACGAGTCTGGCTCCTGGTTGGACTAAAATGAGACGATAGCCGTGATTAGACATCCAAATGACCGTTTTACAACTTTAGGGACTGAGATGGCACAACAGTGTAAGTTTAGGGACCACTGATGCACTTTACTAAAAAAAAATTAAACCGTAAAGATGCATCATGTTTGCTAGCTATATATATATAACTAATTAAAAATAGTGTGCTATTATACTTTAATAACTTTAGCATCTTGTTCATCAAACCGTTCAGTTTCTCTCGGATCCACCTGTTTTTGCTTGGCACAAACTTTTGCTTAAATTACGAAAGGAAAAGGAAAAGGAAAAGTCTCTCGAGAATTCAGATCGTCGTGGGGATTCCACATCGTAAAACCACTGAAGACGAGGCGGAGGACGAGCCGGAGAGTTGAACTGCGCAGCGAAGCAGCAGCGGCGACAAAAGCCCTCGCGTCGGTCGCGGCCGCCGCCCGGCGCCCGCCCCCCACCGCCGGTCGCCGCCGCTGGCCGACTCCCGTCGAGCCGAATCGGTAAACCCTCCCCAAATCTCCACTCGTGTCACCTGTTTGGTCCGCATCAGGACCCGATCTGAGACTCTCGGCAGCTCCGCAGCGCTCTCCGATCCGGGTGGCCGCGGCGCCGGCATGGCGCGGTTCGAGGTGAACGGCAAGTCGGTGCAAGGCGTGGACCTGCTGCGGCGGCGCCACTGGGCGTCGCGCCTCGACTTCTGGCCCTTCCTTGCGCTCTATGCGCTCTGGCTGCTGCTCGCCGTCCCGGCGCTCGACTTCACCGACGCTCTCATCGTCCTTGCCGCGCTCTCCGCTGCTCACATCCTCGCCTTCCTCTTCACCGCCTGGTCCGTCGATTTCCGGGCCTTTGTTGGGTACTCCAAGGCGAGTTGCCTCTCAATCCTTAACCCATCTAGTCAGCATTATCCATATCTGTTTTAATTCTTTAGATTTTAGGGCTGAACGGCTTGAGCTTGGCGATATTGTAGGTCAAGGATATCCGTGCCGCTAACGCGTGTAAGGTGACTCCGGCTAAGTTCTCGGGGTCAAAGGAGATTGTACCCCTGCACATACAGAGAGTTGTGAGTTCAAAATCCTTTTTTTCCCCTGAGAGCTTGTTGCGCCTTCAGCTCTCTTTGGGGGTTACTGAGTGTGTTGTTTGAGTGTTTGTTCAGGTGGCCTCAACTTCGGCTGCAGGTGAGACAGAGGAGATTTACTTTGATTTTCGGAAGCAGAGGTTCATCTTCTCGGCGGAGAAAGATAACTTTTTTAAGCTCCGGTACCCAACGAAGGAGTTGATCGGTCATTATGCCAAGGGCACTGGTTATGGAACTGAGGCCAAGATTGGCACCGCTGTGGATAAGTGGGGTAGAAACGTGTAAGCTGCATCGCTGCTCCCCTCCCTATTTCATTCTATGCTTTCAGTTGTTGAGCTACAGAACCTTTAATCAAAGAATTGCGTAGATCAAAGAATTGCGTAGATCAAACAAACACGAGAAACACAAATGTAGTTTAAGAGGCTAAGGCTGAACTTAATTTAAGGTTAATGTCTAACAATGCCCAATTGGATATTAAAATTTGCTCCATGCAGCACTACCTGAAGGAAATTCACAATTCAACTTATGGGGAACCCACTATGAGAGTGGATGAGTGTTGCTGACCTGTAATGCACGTTTATTTCACATGTTATCCAAAGTAGACTTGTACTATAACAGGTGATTCAATTGTGGACTAGATTTAAAAGAGTAGGCGAGTAGCTGAAAGAATTTGTGCATACATGGATATGCTACATAACTTGTTGCTATAGTGGATTCCCTTTGTACTTAGGGCCTATTTGGATACAAGGGCTAATTGCTAGCTACCTAAAAATTAGCCCAAATTAGCGCTAGTGCATCGAAACAGGAGGGCTAATATTTTTTTAACTAGTTTTTAACCAACTAGCTAGCCAATCACAGCTAATTTGGGTTAATTTTTAGCCCCAACTAGTAACTAGCCATGTGTATCCAAACAGGCCCTTCGTCTGATCACAAATCCTTGTCCTTTTGGACATACTTGCTATCCAACTTTTGGCTATAAATATTCTAAGTGTTCAGATTGGACTCCTGGATCTGTGTAGGGAAAGGATGTTGGCAATTATTATAATTTTGTTTTTTATACATGTAATATGATACCCCCTCTGATCACAAATACTTGACACATTTGACTTTGCATGGTCTTCATTTCGTATATTTGACCATATTATATTCTTAAAATCCTTCAAATATAAGAGATTTTACAAGCATTTTAATTACAAATAGGCACATATAACTTACATGCTACCAAATAAAATAATGTATTACTCCTCCATTCCAAATTGTAAGACATTTTGGCTTCTACTAGATACATAGCTTTTCTTTGTGTACTTAGATATACACTATGTCCAGAACGTTTTTACAATTTGGCATGGAGAGAGTATTTATTAATGTATCTGGTTTATGTTTGACCAAATCTTGTCCTAAACGACAAATTTTTTGTGACCGGAGGTAATATGTTTTAGTGATCACTGCATTTTGGAGACCATGCTACCATCCAAAACGACATGTATCTGTGACTAAACTGGTGGGAGGATGCAGTAATATCTGCAACATCCAACTTTTTTAATTCCAAATTATGAATACTGAATAGAGGAATATTTGCCGCAGAGATGATCTATTAGTAGAACTAAAGTAAGAACATAGTATGTGCCTAGGGAATTTCAGTTATGGACAGTGGCCGTGGTTGCATCTGAATCTGTATGTCTTAAATCAAATAACCAATGTACTAGTGATTTTTGCATCAAATTGAACATAATAGATCTCTTTTACCATATGAATCTGTCTAGCAACAGTGGCTGACAATATTTATTGTTCTCTCCAGATTCGAGTATCCACAGCCCACATTTCAGAAATTAATGAAGGAGCAAATCATGGAACCATTTTTGTTTTCCAGGTTACTTTCTTTTATCTCAATACTTAGTAAACTCACTTATATATTTTTAATGAGGGCTTCTTTATGCAGGTTTTTGTGTTGCTCTTTGGTGCCTGGATGAGTATTGGTACTACAGTTTGTTTACACTTTTCATGCTTTTCCTGTTTGAGTCTACTATGGCAAAGAATAGGCTGAAGACATTGACTGAGCTAAGGCGTGTGTGAAAGTTGATAGCCAGATTGTGTTGACCTATAGATGTGGAAAGTATGGATCCTCCATTTCATTTAAGTTTTTTTTTGTTTCAGCATATATCCCATCCTAATTGCGTGTTCTTTGTTCAGATGGGTTAAAATCCCTGGAACTGAACTACTACCAGGAGATATTGTGTCAATAGGTCGCTCAACTAGTGGTGAAGATAGATCTGTACCAGCAGATATGCTATTGTTAGCTGGGTCTGCAATAATAAATGAAGCTATTCTTACAGGAGAATCTACTCCACAGTGGAAGGTTTTCTTTTGTTTTCTCTTGGATGCATTTAATAATTAGAAAAAAATAGTTTCATTGTGACAGTTTGTGCTTTCAACCCTATTTTTAAATAATGCATTCTGGTTGCCATTCTAGTGCAAGCGGTAGAGCGGGCCTGGTGCAAGCGGTAGAGTCTTACCGCCTGTGACCGGAAGGTCCCGGGTTCGAGTCGCGGTCTCCTCGCATTGCATGTGCAAAGCGAGGTAAGGCTTGCCACTAACACCTTCCCTGGACCCCCTTGCAGGCGGGAGCTCTCTGCACTGGGTACGCCCTGGTTGCCATTCTAGTTTATAAATTGGAACTGAAGAGTCATTTACTGGACTATTACAGTATGCCATTCTTGCACATTCTGTTTGAATCCATTACAATTTACAACAGTCAACTGTGCTTAAATATTAAACTAAAAACCAATGCTTTACATGAAACTACTAAAATTTGCGACCAAGTTACCGGAGGGCATTGGTTCCGTAGAAAAACCAAGCTTATATCCAGTTCATTTTGTATAGCTATTAATAGTTCAATCATTATGGGAAGCAGATGAAATTGACAGTATGCTTCAATATCATCATCTGTATTTTTGTCGCACAAAACCCTATTCTTATGCCTTAACTGCATAATTATTTGTTTTTTTTGGCTCTGACCACATCTACTGATAGGTTTCAATTGCTGGACGTGGTCCTGAGGATATGCTATCTATAAAGCGGGATAAGAACCATATCCTATTTGGTGGCACTAAAGTATTGCAACACACTGCAGATAAGGTAGATACATCTCCTGAGCTAGCTGTCTGTGCCCAATTCCGTTGCTGACATGTTTATTTTTAGTCTGTAATTCTTCGAGCACCTGATGGTGGCTGCCTAGCTTTTGTATTGAGGACTGGATTTGAGACTAGCCAAGGGAAATTGATGAGGACTATCTTATTTTCAACTGAGAGGGTAACATCTTCTTCAGTAATGAAAGTTAATTATCCGAAGTCATGAAAATCTGATGCCTGCATTTTAATGAAAATAACAGGTTACTGCAAATAACAAGGAAAGTGGCCTGTTTATACTCTTTTTTGCTCTTCTTTGCAATTATTGCGTCCGGTTATGTGCTTATGAAGGTAACACCAGTAACTTTACAATCTATAGAGTGAATCATTATTTTTATCCTATTCTTTAGCTCATTTTGCCTCCTCTTGTCTTCTGTTGAACCGTTGTTTTATTTGTGTATAGGGACTAGAGGACCCAACAAGGAGTAGATATAAACTGTTATTGAGTTGTTCATTGATTATTACTTCTGTGATACCCCCGGAATTGCCAATGGAGCTCTCCATAGCAGTCAACACATCTTTAATTGCATTGGCTAGGCGTGGTATTTTCTGCACAGAGCCGTTCAGAATACCGTTTGCTGGGAAGGTTAGTAAGAAACCTTATGAGTCCCTGTTTCTCCTTTCTTTTCAAGCTTTTTAAGAGTTTTCTTTGATCAGGTTGACATATGCTGCTTCGATAAGACAGGGACTCTGACATCAGATGATATGGTAAGTTATATGCTTAGTTTATTTCCTTGTTCAATCAGAAGCTGGGGGGATGACAAACCCTGTGTTTCAGGAATTCCAAGGTATAGTTACTTTGGAAGGTGACGATGAGTTAATATCTGATGCAAATAAGTTGCCCCTCCGAACTCAAGAAGTGCTTTCCAGTTGCCATGCATTGGTTTTTGTCGACAACAAGCTGGTATGTCGTGTGCAATTATCTAATAACTAACTGCTTTTTAGAAGGTCTGACGTATAACCTAGTAATTGTGAAAACGTTTGATGGTATCTTTCATCTTAATAAAGGTCGGTGATCCCCTCGAAAAGGCTGCTATAAAGGGCATAGACTGGATCTACACATCTGATGAGAAGGCCATGTCTAAAAAGTAAGCTGTCGTATGTATTAACCTGCATAAATATGTAAGCAAGTGAGCTTATGATCAAGTGAACCTGATGAAATCATAAAATTCAATATTATTGTTGTCACCAGGAAAGAATATCTTGGGTGGTTATTAGTTATTACTGCTTTTCCTGCTCCACTGCGAGCATAAGGTATTAAATTGTATGTGTTAATTCATGTTTTCTTTCATCGCAGGCCTGGTGGTCAACCTGTACAGATTGTGCACAGGTACCATTTTGCTTCTCACTTGAAGAGAATGTCTGTTATCGTCCGTATTCAGGAGAAATTTTACGCTTTCATTAAGGTAAGAATTCTGAGAGATCCAATGAAATTTTGGTCTCATGGTTTTACACAAGTTGTTACTCCGTCAGTTCCTATTTGGGGTAGTTCAGAAACAGTCTCTTTTTGCCTTGAATGTAAATGTGATCATAGTTGTAACATAATGAAACATATTATTTGCTTGTAGCATAATGAAACATAGTATTTCTTTGTAACATAATGAAACATAGTATTTTCTCTTGTTCCAAGACATCTATACCTTGGAGGAACCAAAATGATCTTCATAGGGTTTTGATACATTGAATATTTAGCGCTTGAGGTTTGGAGCAAATGACAAGACAATTCTCTGTAGTCCATACCATTGCTCCGGAAAAAGGCAGAAATTTTCATCAGATCTATATTGACAGCAGAGATCTTTTCTATGCTCCCCAACATTCATCCACACGATCTATTTAAAGTTGAAAGCCGAGCTCATCTTGGTCATCTGCAGTTTGAGCAAATCTTTGAAAAGTCTTATCTCAAATTGCCTGTGTACTCTCTATTAGTGTGACTATGGTATACTTTTTATCTTTATTTGCCTGTATATGAACTAAATTTGTTGAATGAAATCACCATGGGAGCCCCACTTCTGTTTCTGCTAACTAAAGGAAATCCTTTTCTAGAATTTTCCAAAACGGCAATGTCAAGTCTTCAGAAAAAAAAATGTCAATAATATATGGACCTCAGTGAACTAATGATGCAACCAATGCTCCATTTGAAACTATGGTTGGATCAATCTACATTAGAATAGCTGTTATTCAGTAGCCATGTGCAGTATCTTCCTTTCTACCACAGTTAAAAGGGAGAATATTGTAGCTGGCAAAAAAAAAAGTAAAATCACAATATCTGTTGAGTTTCATAATTTGGAAAACAAGAAGGCATGATTTTTTATTTCAGTCCATAAGAACTTGTCAGTCAAATTGTTTCTCTGGTTGATGGTCCTGTGAGATTCCTTTTAACTCTTTTTCCAAGATCTTGTTTAACTTGATCTTCTTTTCCTAGAAATATCCATGTGTCTTATATTTTGTGATCTTCAGGGTGCACCAGAGACCATCCAAGAGAGATTAGTTGATTTACCTGCTGCATATGTGGAGACATATAAGAAATACACACGGCAAGGTTCTCGGGTCTTGGCTCTTGCATACAAATTGCTTCCTGAGATGCCTGTAAGTTTCTGTTGATATTAATCATGTCATTTGCCTATAGCCATTCTCTTCTATTTCCATAAAATTCCTGTGCTAGAACAAAGCAAAAAACTTCTTGATTCTTTGATGCAAAGGACCATCCAAATTCTAACTGTCCCAGCATTGTGGTTGTGATAATCCACTCTACATGCATGCAGCTTGTGGCATGATCTGATGGAATTATAAATTCCCGAGCCAGAACAAAGCGCAAACTTTTTGATTATTGCAAAGGGATCATCCAAATTCCAACTTTACCAACATAGTTTTGTGATAATCCAATGATACTTCACATGCTGATTTGATACTCTGATGGAATATTTACTGGAAATTGGGATCCTGTGTTTTTTATTAACTTTGATGGTGCTGATGTGCTAGTTGAAAGGTTGCTGTTCAAAGAATTGTTGCTGTACAAAAATGGGAACTTGGAAATGCATCATTATACAAATTTCATAATTGTACTCTTTATATGCTATTTGATATGTTTTGATTCGTGCACATGATATCTGTCACACTGAGCTAATTTATTCTTGAAAGGTCGGATAATGATGTATTTTGAAATAAAATACATTTCCCTTGATGTTTATTCACTGGCTTGGGGGTCTAGAAGTTGGGGGTCTAGAATCCTAAGCCAGGATAGTAACGTGAAGAGAGGCAGAGGAAGACCGAAGTTGACTTGGGTAGAGGCAATAAAAGGAGACTTGAAAGGATGGAATATACCCAAAGACTTAGCCTTAGATAGGAGTGCTTGGAAGACAGCTATTCACGTGCCTGAACCTTGATTGCTTCTGCTGTGTTTCAACTCTAGCCTACCCCAACTTGTTTGGGACTTAAAGGCTTTGTTGTTGTTGTTGTTGTTGTTGTTGTTGGGGGTCTAGAAGTTAGATTTCATGAAGCATATTTCATTAACTTATTTATTTAAACTTTCAAACAGAGTTTATTATCTGCATACATTTAACTTATTATCCTTCGAATTTTACAGCTATTGCATTTTTTTCATATCTTTTTGTTTGTTTATCTATGAAAAGTGTATCAGGTTAGATTTGTTTGACCTCTTGGTGTTTAAATAACAGGTTAGTGAAGCTAGAAGTTTGGAAAGGGATCAAGTAGAGAGCGACCTAACATTTGCTGGTTTTGCGGTATGTAATCTTCCTCTTATGCATCTTTTTTTTTCTCAAAATTATCTTAGTTACGTTGGATGACATGTTTATCTTAATTCTGTGGCTGTGTTGGATTGGTGGATTCAGGTCTTCAACTGTCCTATAAGGAGCGACTCTGGTGCTGTCTTACAAGAACTGGGACAATCTTCCCATGACTTGGTATATCCTCCTATTTATCTTGTAACCATTTATTATTGGTAATAAATTCAGCTGTGCCGGAAACTTGTTTTTGTGCCAGTAATGTGATACATATACAAGTACATTGCCCAAGGCTAGCAGACATGCTAGTGTACTCGTAGCAGCAACCTTGAAAATTTGTAATGCTATTTCTGTTTTGTTTGACTAATGTGCTTATTGGCTTGCTGGTGTTATTAGGTCATGATCACTGGAGACCAAGCATTGACTGCCTGCCATGTTGCTAGCCAAGTACATATATCTTCCAAACCTGTTTTGATCTTGACACGGATAAAGACTGGTGGTTTTGAGTGGGTTTCGCCAGATGAAACTGATAGAGCTCCATACAGGTAACTGTCTATATACAGTACTTGTATCTTTGCTGATTCTTTTGTGTTGAGCTCGTACCTTGTTTTCTTGCCTGGCAAATCTTTACCCTGTTCCAGTGTGAGAGACAGAGTAGTCTGATCTCTCTCTTCGCAACAAATATTATGTTGCTTGTTTTATCAGACTAAGTTTTTATAAAAATTATAATTGTGTCCCATTTGTCCAGGAAAAATGATTATTATTACAAGCATTTCCTCAAGTTAACAAACAATACAATTTCTTCTCTCTTGTTAATCTCTCAGACTTAGTGTTGATATATTAAGTCTGTTGTTTAGCATCTCTTCTGGCATTGTTATCACATACAGTTTGTGGCTTGTTTGTGTCCTTTTGAGTTGATATTGTGTATATGTTGTTTTGCAGTGCTGTGGAGGTTGCAGTGTTATCAGAATCTCATGACCTTTGTATTAATGGGGACTGTTTTGAAATGCTACAAAGTACTGAGGCTGTTCTCCAGGTTATCCCTTATGTGAAGGTATATGTGTGAACAGATTACATCCCCTGTACAAAATATGAAAGCTTTCATTTGTATGCTTAGCGGTTATTATAGTTTTTAATTATCATTCTTTTAGGTTTTTTTCACGTGTTGCTCCAGAACAAAAAGAACTTGTACTGACTACATTCAAAAGTGTTGGGAGGGTGACACTGATGTGTGGAGATGGAACCAATGATGTTGGTGCACTGAAGCAGGTGATTACCTGTCCTGTATCCCACTTAGTTTTGCTCAATTTACATAGAAAACTACTCTATTATTCTGGTTTCTACGACCTTATTCCACACAGGCATATTATTTGTTACCATGACAATTATTGCATTGATCCTGGAAGTGTTTACTGACACTGATTGTGTAGAGACTTTTCGCTACAATTGGTGCCTTATATTCATTTTTCTTGTTTTATTAGTTGAAGGCATCATGGTAATACTTCTTACCTGTTATGTAATATAACAGAATGTAATTGAACATTCTTTACACTCTCTTAAGAGGTGGCTTATACTTATGCTAGAAGTATGGCACATATGGAAGAAGTTTAAGCCAGTAACTGTGAGTGGCAGAGGTCCATGCTACTGAATACTGATATGCAAATTGACCAATATTGGCCTGGTGTTTTGTTCTTTTCATTACCTGTTTGATGATAAGTCATAACTGTAATATGGTGATAGTGAACCACTTGAATGATAATAATTTTAAAATTTCTGACCTCAGGCAAATTCTACATTGCTTTTGTTAGGCCTGTTATTTTTCTACTGACATTTTGAATTTGTTTACTGAAATATAGGACTCTTGTTAACTACCTTATCGTATCATTATTTTTGCCATTCATTTCATGATCTTGTAAAAAATTTCAGGCACATGTTGGCATAGCTCTTTTGAATGCTCAACCAGTTCAGAAAGTCGACTCAAAATCCAAAGCTGAAAATAAATCTGGGAAATTGAAAAAACAGAAGCCTGCTAATGAAGCATCATCACAAGTGACTCCAGCAGCTAATAGTTCTGCTAAAGCATCGAGCAGCCGCCCCATGACTGCTGCTGAGAGGCAGCGAGAAAAGCTGCAGAAAATGTTGGATGAAATGAATGATGAAAGTGATGGCCGTTCAGCACCAATTGTTAAGCTTGGTGATGCTTCTATGGCTTCACCTTTCACAGCAAAGCATGCCTCTGTTGCCCCTACTCTTGACATCATCCGTCAGGGGAGAAGCACGCTAGTCACTACACTTCAAATGTTCAAGATTCTTGGGCTCAATTGCCTTGCAACCGCTTACGTTCTCAGTGTCATGTACTTGGATGGTGTCAAACTGGGCGATGTTCAGGCTACAATCAGTGGTGTCTTTACTGCAGCCTTCTTCCTCTTCATCTCCCATGCTCGGCCACTCCAAACGCTGTCTGCAGAGCGGCCTCACCCTAACATATTCTGTGCATACGTTCTGCTCTCCATTCTTGGCCAGTTCGCCATGCACATATTCTTCCTCATCACAGCTGTCAATGAAGCATCAAAGCATATGCCAGAGGAATGCATTGAGCCCGACTCAGGCTTCCATCCAAACCTTGTGAATACAGTTTCATACATGGTGAACATGATGATCCAGGTGGCAACCTTTGCTGTAAACTACATGGGCCACCCATTTAATCAGAGCATATCTGAGAACAAGCCCTTCAAGTATGCGTTGTATGGAGCGGTTGCTTTCTTCACAGTGATCACATCAGATATGTTCAGGGATTTGAATGACTACATGAAGCTTGAACCCTTGCCTGAGGGAATGCGTGGCAAATTGATGTTGTGGGCTATTCTAATGTTTTGTGGTTGCTATGGATGGGAGCGGCTTCTGCGATGGATATTCCCAGGAAAGATGCCTGCGTGGGAGAAGCGCCAGAAACAGGCAGTTGCAAACTTGGAGAAAAAGCGAGATTAGAATCATTTTTGCTGTCTGCACTTTATTCTTTACCCTTTGATGCCCATTGGTTACTTGGCAGTACATACTGATCATGTTTTGGCATAGTTGCAATCTAATCTGTAGCCTAGGGGAATTTTGGGAGTGTAGGCCCTAAATGATAGGAGGATACAGGGTCGTCACTTTACATACTTGTCATGATTATTAAAATTTTCAGTTACCATATGTAAGCTGATATTAGATGGCATGAATATCGGTTGATATTAGATGGCATGAATATAGGTTGATGTATTCTCTTCATTCTAAATTATAAGTTATTCTAACTTTTTTGTATAGTCAAAGCATCTCAAGCAAAATTATATAGAGAAAATTACAAAAATTGATGACATCAAATAGGTATATTATAAAAATATAATAATATAATTAATTAAGAATCTAATTATACTTATTTGGTATCATAAATATTATTATTTTATTATATAAATTTGGTCAAACTTGAGAAGTTTCTAAGAAAGTTGATAATTAGGGACGAAGGGAGTGCAATGCAAAATACAGAAGCTATGCTAGGCTTTCATTCTTTTACTGTTATAAATGTGCAATGATCTTAGTAGCCCTTTTGAGGTGTACATCACAATATCGATGTCGAAAACTAAAATTTCTGGGTTGTGTCGATGAAGATCTGTTTCAGGCCCCGTTCGCTTTGCTGAAAAAGTCAAAATACTGTTTCAGCTAATTTGTTGTAAGAGAAAAACACTGTCCCAACTGAAAAAAAACAGCTGAAAATTACGGATTACAGAAGAAGCGAAGAGGCCTCAATGTACATCGCAATAGTTGATTTGTTGCGGATGTGAACTCGCTGTACGGCCCCGTGAGTCGTCAAACCTGGCACTGATTTGTTGCTGGAATATTTTTAAGAATTTTGTGTTTATTGTTATTTCCCTCTCTTTTTTTTAGAAAAAAAGCCATCTTTTCGTTCGTTGTAGGGTTAGCACGGACAAATATACTAGTATAATTTAGTGAAAGCTTTGATTGATAACTTGATCCAGTACAGATTAACCTTGGTAAGAGTCATACAGACTACAAAGAAGCTTCTGATCTTAAATAATCACTGAGCTCGATCGACTGTTATGGTCTGTTTCGGGGAATCCATATCTCCGTTCTTCAGTATTCTCAACAGAAAAGTAAAACCAGCTATATTAATAAGCATGACATAAAACGAAATGATTGCCAAGAAAAATAATATTTACACACACAAACTAACGACCATAGCAATTTTTTTTAGAACGCACGCACACTCGTCCATACGAATGTACGTATGCAAACCTTATTGATAAAGTTATCATAAATGTCTTGCTGTCAACCAGAATATTTCATGCATCGGAAAGCATAGCTTCGTTAAATTCTAAAATATTCGTTCTCGTGAAAACTTGAACCCAGATCTGACGTGCTAAGGATGGCTCTACAGGTCCTTCCGCACGACCAGAGCAAATGCTTTCCATGGGCCTGGGAAGTGGGCTCAGCGCTGGTCGAAATAGACTGGACGGATTCACCGTTGGGCTGGTCTGCGACTGAGTTTAAGACTGACCGCACCGCTGACCTGCAAAGGGGCCGGTACGCCAGCGATAGCGTACCGCGCTCCTGCACCGCTCACCTGCAAAGCCTCCGGTATGGTACCGGCTGCACAGGAACCCGCTAAACCCAGCGCACGCGGGAGGCCACGGTAAATACTGTAGCAACACTGTAGCTGCGAGAGAGAAAGTTGGTGGGAGAGAGAAAGAGAGAGAGGGGGAGAGGAATAAAATATAGAATAGTGGGTATAGAGTATGGGATAGAGATAACACGGTTGCGGGAGAAATAAGAGCCTGTTTGGTTTCCATAAGTCAGGTGACTTATTAAGTCAGGTGACTTAAAACCAGTGACTTATAAGTCATGCCTGTTTGGTTGTAAATGACTTATAAGCTCATTAAATGTGTGGGCCCCACGTGAAAAATGATGACTTATAAGTTGGTGGTATTTGGCAAAATAAGTCACTTATTTTACTTTTTAACCTATAAATAGGGGACTTATTTGGAAACAAACAGGGTTTAAATATAAAATAGAGAATTTTGATGATTAAGATAAAATATTCTTTTTTAAGATAAAAATAGAGGTAGAGGAGTGCGGATAGCTAAAAGGCCTTGCCGCCTTATGGGTCCCTAGACAAACATTCAGCGACCCAAAATCCGACCGTTGCCTTCCCTTTTCTTCGTCTTTTCTCTCTCGTCGCCCCCAAATCCTCCGAGGTACCGCCGGGCCGCCGGTAACGCCACAACTCCCGCGCGTGCCGATCGATACCTGGCAAAACAGCGAGCGCAACCACCGCCGAGAGGTCGTCCCTTCTCTTCCAGTCCGCTGTCCGCGTCCTCCTTGCTGCTGCGTCCCGGAGCGGAGTTGAGTTGAGATACAACGGGCCGATTGACTTCTCTCCTGCGCGGGTAAACCCTACCGCTTCTTGGCTTGCATCGATTCGACTTTGCACTGATTTCTTTTTGCCCTCCCCTTGCTATGATGTGCGCAACCAAATCGAAACCCTAAGGCTGCCGCGATGTCCCGTCCTGTTCTTCATGTAATCGCGCGCTCTAGGGATGGGATGCCTCGTTTGAGGGATCTGTTCGCCCTTATTCACTGTTGCCACGTGGTAGATATTCCGTCCATTTATCTCGTTTCTTGCGCCTAAGATTTCAACCCTCTTGTTTTGCTGAAGGATTCTAGTCGCGTCCTGTATCTTCTAATGCTATGACAGTTAGGGAAGCCAAAAGGAAATCCTTCCGTTGTTAGTTTGTTATAGGATGTTTATGTAAAGTTTCAGTCCGATATTGCCTGATTTTTCTAGACGAGATGTGCGTTTTGATGTTCTTGGGCTAGAGTTTCAACTAATCTAGACCAGAGGCTGCCGCTGGTCCAAGCGCTTTGATGATAACCCTTAAGGCTTCCCCATGAGAAGTGCTATTATATATCCTGTGTTAGATTGCTCTGCCACCAGCTGTATACTTTTGCTACATCAAATTTCAGAATCTATCTCTGTAAGACGTAATGCAACACTTCAGCAGTTGTGCTTTTCCCGTTAGTTAATTCGGTTGAAATGTTCAGTCTGTCTTAAATTAGCATCTGCTTAGCACATTTCGATTTTTTTTTTCAGTTTCTGTATATCTTAATAGTGTAGGGAAGTTGTTGTTTAGTATTTCTATACTCTGAGTATCTCCCCCTTAGCAATCAATTGAACTCCAGTCAGGTTTTCATCGAGGTAGAGAAAGATACCTTTCTGTCCGGTCATGGCTTTGCCAGCTGCAGCAGCTGTTTTGCTTGATGAGAACATGCAGATACATAAAGGTGAGATTGTTTTCCCTGGAAACTGTTTTGTGACTAGGAAGTTTATGAAACATATAACCAACTTGTTTGATCCACATGTTCAGAAAACAGGGTTGATGCACCAAGGGCCAAACCACTCAAATCATCAGCAAAACCTGAGAGGAAGGCTCTTCAGGATGTGTCTAACATTCCTAAAGGCACTGCTTTAAAGAACAGATCCACCATCAAAGAGAGGTCCACCTTGAAAGAAAGGCCTGCACTTCACGACGTGTCCAACAACCTCAAAGAGAGGTCCATCCTGAAAGAGAGGCATCCTCTTCAGGATGTGTCTAACACCCGCAATGAGAGGTCCATCCTGAAAGAGAAGTCTGCTCTGCGTAGCCATGAAGTGATTAAGAACCCAGTGAATATTTTTGCTGATGATGAAGAGACCAAAAGGTGTCATGAATGGGCTAAGGATGGGATTGAGGGCACTCACTTCACTGGAAATGATTCTCAGAAGTTGGATAAAGATGCTCAAGACAAACGTAAGAGTCAAAGTCTGACAATTGCTCTTTTTGTTTCTTTAATACGTGGGTGGTATATTTTTTAGCTGCGTATGGGTAATCATGCGTTTGATATAGGTGTCAAGAAGAAAGTGGCGAAAGTTATATCAGCATTGCATGGCTGGTCACATGAGGTATTTGATCCTGTGATGTTTCCGGCTGCGGTATGTGACCCAACAGTACAGTATTTCACAATTAATTCAGGGTGTCTGTAAGGTCCAGGTACTTTACCAGAGATTTAGACGATAAATTGGTATTACTTTTGAAATAGTCATGTCTGTTTCTATAAGACCATGACGTGCAAATTCAAACCAGGCAAACAAAACTTATTATTCTTAAATAAGAAATTGGAAAAGTATATCTTCTTGCTATTTGGTTGCTTAGTTCACCTAAGTGATACAGATATACAATGGTTCTTAGACGGCTAGAATTATAGGTTAGCCAGTAAAATCATTTGTCACGTAGCTTTCCAGTGCCAACATAGTGTGCTATTTAATACTTTGGCCTAGTATGTTCCGGTATCCATAAGCAATGAAGAGGAACTTGTGGCGATAAATTTCACTTGTTCCGCACCTCTGCTAGCTGAAGTTGGTTGATAAATTGATTAGAAGAGCTTAATTTTGATGGTTCATCCATGTCTAGCATGAACTATATCATGTCTTTTGTCATGTAAGGTTATATATTGCTATGGACTGACAAGCTTGGTATTGCTGCCGGTAATAATTATTTTGACAAGATAGCTTGTGAGATTCAGAAATGGGCACTTGCAGCATTTGTTTATCAAGAATCATATTCTGAAATGTAAAGTGTCTTTGAATATAATTACCCTATTTCTAGATGTTGGAATTTTTTTCGTTGCCAGTAGTAGTACTAAAGGATACTGCTTATCTATGGATATGTATTGCATCACAAGATATGGACATCTTGTCCCGGTTTAGATTTTTCATTTTATGTCACCTAACAATATCTTGTGACATCAGAAGAAGCAGTCCTGCACATCTTGCTTGTCATTTGGTATAACAGTGCTGCTAGTATCTACTAAAGTTGGTATAAGTTTGTTTTTTGGGGTCCTGGGCTGTTTTCTCTAAATGTTGCCCTGTACATTTAGCTTAATGGCTGCGCTGATATAGTGATAGGTACCAATAGAAGTTCAATTGTGTCTATAATCATGTCACATGTCAACAACATTTCTGGTTTATTTTCTTTCTCTAAGAGCATTGAAACACTTGTCGCACTAGTTCTATTATGTTTCTTTACCTTGTTTTTTGTATAGTTTTTATGACCAATGGTGAAAAAATCTCTATATCTTGAGTGTATTTTTGTGGTTGTGTTGACACATACAAAATGATCAGTAACTGTTTAAAGTTTAAAATTCTGTATAAATCATATGATTTATTCCTGCTGTATATAGCTCCATTTGTTTATACGCTATCTGATATATTTGAATTCTTAACTTTTAGGCAAGTAATCAACATAAGTGGAAGCATAATATTCCACAAAACACCATTTCTTGACTTCTCCATTTTTCTCATCTCATCATTAAACCAAAAATGTGCTATAATCTGTCTCTTTATGATTTAGGAGGTTCCCAAGTTTTCTGAAGAATTGAAAGAGCTGGAGCTGGAACCAGAGATTCTTCCAGACATCACTTGGTGTCTCTCTACCTCAGGCAAGAGGGATGATGCACCAAGGGCCAAACCACTGAAGCCATTACTGAAGCCTAAGCTTCAAGAACAGAAGGCTCTTCAGGATTTGTCTAACACCGTCAAAGGGAGGCCTGCTCTGCGCAGCCATGAAGCTGTGAAGAACCCAGTGAAAATATTCACTGTTGAAGAGACCAAAAAGTGTCATGAATGGGCTAATGATGTGTCGGAGGCACAGGAAATGATCCTCAGAAGCTGGATAAGGACATGGAAGACAAACGTAAGAATCTAAGTCTTGTGATTCCTCTTGTGAAGAACCCAGTGAAAATATTCACTGTTGAAGAGACCAAAAAGTGTCATGAATGGGCTAATGATGTGTCGGAGGGCGCTCAATTCACAGGAAATGATCCTCAGAAGCTGGATAAGGACGGGGAAGACAAACGTAAGAATCTAAGTCTTGTGATTCCTCTTTGGTTTCTTCAGTAAGCACATGGTTTCTTCTTCTCTTCAAAATGTTTCAGTTTACTTGCATGTAACATACACTTTCACATGCAGGTGACAAAGCACAGCTGGTTGAAGGTTCTCCTACTGATGATGAGCTTGACGACTACCCATTTCTGGAGCTTGACGACTACCCATTTCTGGACAACAATCCTGTTAACTTTGAGCTGAAAGATGAGCCAGTGATTCCAGATATTGGAGCAAACTGAAGAATCTATGCTCACCGAAACTGAAAGCTCTGCCTGTGCTATCGTTTATGCTGCTTGTTCTGTAGCAATCTATGTGTATGATGTTTAGTATATGTTGCTTGCTACTATGTAGTTTGAGCTGAAAGATGAGTCCATGCTCTCCTGAAACATCCTCCGCAAGTAATATTGTCTGGTTGATGTCCTGATTCAGCTGCTGAATAAGCTAATGATTGCACGAGTATCCGTTGATGCACAATAGAAAGTACAGATTAGTTATGCTAAGCTTTTGCAGTTCAGAGCAATGTTTTTTACTAGCCTTTTAGAGGTTATATTTTTAAAAAGTAAAATATCGATTAGTTATCTGTCCGTGTTATGCAGGCTTCTTTCATGCGGTGCACATGAAAGAAGTTTGACCTCGTAATTGCAGGGGCGAGATGCTTTGAAAATGAGGTCGTATCTAGTCATGGTGCAACAAGACTAAAGGCCAGTTTGATACATGGCTATTTACTAGCTAGAGCTAAAAATTAATTTAAAAAAACTATGGTTGACTAGTTAGTTGGCTAACAAACAGTGAAAGACTTAGCTAAAAAATTAACCCACCTATTTAGATGCACTATAGCTAATTTAGGCTAAAAATTAGTAAGCTAACAATAAGCCTATAGTATCAAATAGGCCCTACAACACATAGACATGTTCATATAGTCTGTTTGGATACACATGGCTAATTGGCTAGTTACTAGCTGGGGATAAAAATTAGTCTAAATTAACTATGGTTGGCTAGCTAGTTGACTAATGACTAGTTGAACGCTAGACAAAAAAATAGCCTATATATTAGCCCTCCTATTTAGATGCACTAGAGCTAATTTTGACTAATTTTTGGCTAGTTAGTAATTAGCACTTGTATCAAATAGACCTACGATCAAGATCCATTTGGAGTGAGAGATTGTAAAGCAAGATGTTTTGGTGGATTGCTTGATTCGGGGAGGTGCAAAGAAATTCTGGAGACCCATTTGGATCAGATTCATATTGCTCTTCGTGAATGCAGCCAATTTAAATACAGTAGGAGACCGCAACCGCAATGCGCGTATGCCTTTAGAGTACTCCTTCTGTTCCCTCCATTCTAAAGTAAGTATTAATCTCGTATTTCAAGGAAACAACCAATTTAAAGTTTGACCAGATTTATAAAACAATATTATTAACATTTATATCTCTAAATAAATTTACTATAAAAATATTTGACATTATTAATCTAATAATATGTATTTGGTATCATAAGTATTATTACTTATTTATATATATATATATATATATATATATATATATATATATATATATAGTCAATTAAGATCGTTTGACTCCTTAAAATGAAGTCATGAGCCCTTATTTAGGATGGAGCGAGTACGCGAGAACGGAGCTACGATTCGGCCCCAAAGTCCACCGCTGCCCTCGACCAGTTCCACAGCACATGAGCACCTCTTTTCTAATGCTACTGCCACGCCTCTGGAACCCCACGGGCTATGAAATGAGCTAGAGCATACTTGGGATTCTATTTTTTTTTTCATGAAACAAGCGCTTATATACATATTACACACATTCTATCTCAAGAGTCGATGACTGAACTTAGATGGGTGAACATGTTCCAACAAGAGAAACCTACCTGGTTGAGTTGATCGTCCATTCCATCTTACTTAGTTACTTTGCTCTACTATAGACTAATATACATTGTTATGAATCTAACTTTTTTTTTTTTTCCGTGCAAGAGATTTATTGAATTGGTTGGATTCAAAGAGAAGTTACTTGTTTTTTGGGAAAAAGAGAAATTACTTGCTTCTAACATCTTTCCCATACTTAACCTTTTTGCTGAAAATTTATCATAAGATATGATTTGTTATGCAAGCTGAACTTACGAGCGTTTGGTTGGCTAAAATGTGACATAACCGATTATGTGTTACCATCACACATATTTGCTTCCCACTGTTTATAATCAGATCTTATCAACCATTTCCAGATAAAGATTGAACCACTTCGATTACAATGGTGTCTGATTTCATTTCCTTTGTGTTACCATTCACTGAACCAAAGAAAACTTCTAACCCAAGTTTGAGTCTCCAACTTAGTCTAGGCACTATTTATGCTTAGTTATTCGTTTGGATGTCAATACAATCTCTCAGATGTTTTCGTAGGAATGAGGTGTATACATACTTTTATATAGGTGGATATGGTGTTTATGGCTGTCTTTGGTTGGCTTTTATGGGTTGCTTTTGCTTTCAAAAAGCTAAAATCCAATCAAAAGGGTGGAAACAAAAAGCTGCTTTTTCAGGACTGACTACTTTTGGGTAGTACAATTTTGAAAGCATCTTGGACCTACTTTTGGTTTTCTGCCTTTTGAAATGGTGAAAATAGAGAGTTGTTTTATAGTTGTTTTAAGAAAAATAAGAGACATGAGGTAAGTTTTATACTTGTTTGAATCAAACAATTTACAACTTTTTCACAACCCATAACCTAAAATAGACTTTTCACAGCCCACAACTCACACTAGTTTTTCAGAAGCCACAACTCAACCAAACACACCCTATATATGTTGGTGTTTGTAGTATTTAGTAAGAAAAAGTGACTTACCAGATGAGACGCAAACTCTCGACTCCTGTAAATGCTACTCTCTTTGTCCCTAAATAAATCAATTTTTAGAGTTGTTTGAAATCAATCTTAAGTTTGACCGAATTTATAGAAAAGAGCATCGATATTTAAGACACCAAATTAGTATCACCAGAGCCGCTATAAAAATAGTACTTTTCATGGTATGCTCATTTGTTGTCACAAATATTTATACTTTTTCTATAAATTTTGTCAAATTTATAAAATTTGACTTAAGACAATTTTAGAATTTGATTATTTAGGGACAAAGAGATAGGATGTCCTCAACAGGTATATAAGGTCCTATTTGGATCTTCTAAGAAACATGAGAATGAGGTGAAACAATGAGAATGAGATATAATAACATTTCAGTTCTTTTTTTTATAATGAGATAAACAGGGTCCTCTTCCTGCCTTTATTTGCCCAAGCTTCAAATCAACTCACTGAGCTTCAAGAAATCATCAATGGCAGACAGTGGGAGCACACCCAGAAGGACAGTTGGCATTATAATTGAGGACCTATTTTCTCCTCAAAGAAAGCATACTCCCATCTTCAAGGTTCCTTGGAAGCATCTCCCCTCTTCAAATGGATCTGGAAGTCAGGAAATCTTGGCAAATATAAGTTTTTTGCTTGGCTGCTGCTCAAAGACAGACTTAGTACCAGAAATCTCTTAAGAAGAAAAAAACATGTACCTTGATGACTACACATGTGTATTATGTACCAATGGCCCTGAGGAAACAAGCTTCCATTTGTTCTTTGAGTGCCCTTTCAGTATAGACTGCTGGAGCTCCATCAATATTCATTGGGATTTGTCTCTTCAGCCTCTGGACATGATCAACCGGGCAAGATTGGATTTTGGAAGTCATATTTTCAGAGAGATCTTCATCTCAGCTTGCTGGACAATTTGGAAGGCTAGAAGTGGGATCATTTTTTACAACAAAACTGCTTCTCTGATGGAGTGGAGTGCATCCCTCAAGCAAGACCTTGGCTTGGTATGCATCAAATGATCAAAGCCAAGAAAAGCATCGCTGATCCCCTATCAATTTGGCGAGAGAGTAGCTTATGAGATTTCTATCCCTTTTTATTTTGGGCTTTACAAGTACTACACATGTGTATTATGTACCAATGGCCCTGAGGAAACAAGCTTCCATTTGTTCTTTGAGTGCCCTTTCAGTATAGACTGCTGGAGCTCCATCAATATTCATTGGGATTTGTCTCTTCAGCCTCTGGACATGATCAACCGGGCAAGATTGGATTTTAGAAGTCATATTTTCAGAGAGATTGTAACACCCTAGGTGTTTGGCTTCCACTAAATCGCATGTCATTTCATAAACATGTGCATTATCTATGTCATCATGCCATTGTTACTGAAACATGCATGTGCAACAATTTCAACTGGGTATGTTTCATGCTTGATTGTTGTGAATAGTAGTGAAACATGTGAATGTAACATGAAACTCTCATACTCGGAAACATGGCCATATGGTAGTAATGTGGCAATTATAAAATGACAACAAGGTCTTGAAACATGTGAAACATTGTATTGAAACATATGTATGAATTGCTTGTTTTTATTTTCTGTATCATAGGTGATCATTAGAAGTGGTATAACAATTTTGTAAAGTGGTTGATTATGGTCTAATACACCTTAACTACACTTAGGTTACTTGTTGGGACATTGTTCATGTAGATCAAAATGACCAAAATGCCCTCAAGTGAAGGGTTGACTAGAATTGACCATAGGAGTCTCATTGTTTGACTGTTTAAAAAGTGTAACTTAGAGACTTTGCATGGCTGTGCACTCTTTACAAAAGTTGTAGCAAATTTATCAAGGAACAAAAGTTGTTTTATAGCCAAGTCATGAAAATGTGTGGAACATGGTCAAACATGGCCCACAAGTCAGAGATACATGCTGTTTTCAACACTTAGAAAAATATTCTAAGTCATAGTGTTTTCCAGTTGCATCAAGCCAACTTTAGCTTCATGTAACTTCGGATCCATGACGTTTTAGGTGTTTATCATTGAAAAGAAATGGTAGAGGAAGATAGGTCTACAGCTTTGATGTTCATGTCTTCCACTAAACTCGCCACGGATTAGGAGTTAATGATCGTCGAATGGGTATTTGTCGGTCTTGGATTGAGCACTTTGAATCGGAGACTCTGATGACCGACCGTTTTGAATTCGCCGGATGGCGTGCGCGCCGCTGTCGTCGACCGGCTGATCGGCGCTGCCACGCGCCGTGCGCGCGCCTCTGGCGTCATGACGCGCCTTGAAGCCACCCCGCTGCCGATCGCTTTTCGCCCGCGCCATTTGCTTTTCCTTTCTCCTTCCTCTCGCAAGACGGCGGCATCAAACACCGAGCACCGCCGAGCAAATTCCACCCAAAC